AGGTTCTAAAGAGAAGGCTGGTCTGACATCCCCTGGAGGACCTTTCTGTTACCTTGCTGATGTGCTAGTGGAGGAAAACATGGAATTTACCATCAAAGAAGAGTAAGATTGCTGGAATCACTTCTACAAAATCATACAAAACTGCACCGACCTTGCACCACAAATGGCACAGAAGATACTGACATCAATGGAGACACACTCCGAGATGCCAGATGAGAGTACATGTGATATTATGAAACCCTGAGTGTCCCAGCATTAACTTAAAAACCACAGCAATGCCAGGCAAGATCATCATATGTGCCTGTAGAACTCTATGTCTAATATGACAGATTTCTCCCATGCCAGGTGGCTGTGATCTTGACCCGGTGAATGGTGAACTCTCCCTCTCCACGAAGTATCTGGAGCCAGTATGAATGTGGAGGTCACAAGGGAAAGTATAAATATTTGCTCAATGAGATAGACCCAAGTTAGTATTCTTATACAAATAAAATAATACATAAGCAGCTTCCTATATGGATTAAACCTCATCTCCCCACATGCATATCCTCAGCTTTCTGGCTTCTCAGTTTGCTCAAACAAAGCTTTGAAAACCTAAGACTCCTTCTAGCTCAGGATCTTTGGCTGCCATCTGGCCCTGAGGACAATAAAGTACCCAAAGCTCAAACATGCAACCCTCAGGCAGCTCCCTAGGAAGGCTCCTGCCACCCCTGACATCACTCACAGGCCACAGGCAGCCTGTTCCTGGAGGGGACAATCCTCTGGGCCTGTCCTGTGCCCTATGTCCTCTCACAGGTTCAGAGTCCCATCCACGCTCCAGGCCTACACTCACCATGTTCTCACCCCCATTAGCATTTCCTGAAAAGACAGAGAGAAGCTTGGGGTTTATGGCTGGTGCTCCTTCTGCCCGGAGATCATCTGGCCTGGGCCCATGGCATCAGGGTCAGGGATAGTGTAAGTACAACTTGCAAAGAATTTGCTGGAATTAACCTGAACACCCTCTCTATGTCCCATTATCTTATCTAGGATTTCTGGAAGTTTCCAAGAGGCCTGTGGCTCTTTGTTCCCACAGCACCCAGAGGTCATCCAGAGCCTGCTGCCAACCTGCTGTCCCATGAAACCAGCCCAGATAGGACCTGCATCAACTTAGGTCTGCCTCTGACACTGATCTTAGTAGACCTGAAACAGCGGGCTGTACCTCAGCTTCAGATGCTGAGCTCTGTGGTCCCTGTAGCTTTGTGCCCTTGGTTCTCTTCAGTTTTTACCCTAACAGAGGAAGACCTTTTCCTAAGTGCACATGTACAGATATGCCGGGAGGAAGGAGCCAGCCCCACTGAGAATCAGGCCACACTGGACCCCAGGATGCCACCTCTTCTTTCTGTGCTTTTAGACATGTGACATATCCCGGATGCACATTTCTTTAGATAACAACATACCAGAAGGACTAGTGCAATGGGTACCAGCAACATACACAGCCATAACCAGTGGTAGCTCTCTAAAAAGTAGCAAAATCAGAAAATGTTTTGTTAAGGGCAGGAATTGGCATTTCCCGCCAGCAGTCCTATGATAAAAACAAAGCAGATTTGCCACTTTCTGAAATGTTAGACATGTAGGCCCCAGGGAAGAGGCCCAGAGGATAGGCCAAGCCTTGGAGGGAGAGGAAGGTATCCAGCACCCACCCCTGCGGGAATGAAGACTGTCCCCTCCCCAATGGTCTCATGGTGGAGAAAGCCACACACAGGCTTGAAAGCCTCTGGGCTGTGTGAGGGAATCCTGTGCCACCAGCCCCAAGCCAGGCCAGTGCCTCTGGGACACCAGATGCCTTGGAGGCATCATGTGGCACCTCAGCAAGGTGGAAGGGCAAAGTCAGGCCAGGTCTCAGGTGATGGACACATCCCCATTGTCCTGGGACTGAAGCACAAGTCATGGTGACTGCAGTAGGACAGCTGGGCCTGGGTCGGTGAGAGACACAGACACATAAAAGGGGCCCCAAAGACCATGTGATTCCCTGGCTCCCAGGAATCCCATTTTCCAGTAAGGAAAGAAAACCTTAACTTTCATTTAGTCTCTTTTTCTTTACTGATTTGTAAACTGTCCCAAAGTGTATGTAATGTAAAATTTACAATTTGAACCTTTTTCTGGGGTTCACTAATTTCAGGTATGGTTGTAGAAGAGCCAGCACCACCAATCTCTAAAACATTTCCAACTTCCAAACTGAAACTCTGCCCTAGTAAACACTCATTCCCCACCCCTGTCCATTCTTGCTTTCTAATGACTATGGATCCCATATAAAGGAGGAGCACAGTACTGCCCTGCGGTGACTGGCTTACATCACTGGATACCGTGTCCATAAAGTTTATTTATATTGCCATGTGCCATGAGTTTCTTCCTTTTTAAGGCTGAGTAATATTCATGGAATTGACATACGACCTTCAGTTTGTCTACTCATCCATTAAGGCCACTTCAGTGTCTTTCACATTTTGGCCGTGATAAAGGCTGCAGACCGGTGTGCAAACACCTCTGGGACCCCACTCTTAGCTTTATGGGAGACACACCCAGAATGCGATGCTCATAGATCAATGCTATCTTTAATGTTCTAAGGAACATCCATATTGCTTTCCACAGTAATTGCACTATTGTGCATTTCCACCAGGAATACATGTGCCTCTAGTTTCTCTGAGTCCTTCTAACATTTAGGATTTTGTTTTTTAAAAAGTTCCTGCCCTGGAAAGGAAATAGGAGTATCTCACTGTGCTTTTGACTTGCATTTGCTGAAGGACCAGTGACACTGAGGACCTTTGCAACTGCTCGTGGGCCATTTGTATGGCGGTTGGGAGAACAGTGCATAAAGGTCCCTTTCCCATCTTTACACTTGGGCTTGTTTTATGTCAGTACTGTTGAGCTGAGGAAGTTCTTTTCATTCTATGGCCATGGACCTTTAATTAGATTTTGAACTGCAAACATTTTCTCCTCACCAGTGCTGTCTTTCTCTCTGTGCATATTCTGATGCACAGAAGCTTTGAAGATGGCTGAAATCTGCTTTGTCTGTTTTTCCCTCTTGGTGTCATATCAGAAATCAGTGCCAAAATCAGTGTCAAATCCAATGTCCTGAAGGTGTCCCCTAAGTTTTATGGATTTGCAGGTTTAGGGCATTCTTTTAGGTCTTAGGCCTTTAGTTCAATTGGAATAAGTTTTTGTTCATGTTGTAAAATAAGGGTCTAATCTCATTCTTTTGCATGTGAGTATCTGGTTCCCCAGTGTCATTTATTGAAAAGACACTCCTGTCCCATTAAATGACTTGGGCTCCTATTCAGCATGCACTGTTTAAAATATAGGTTATGTAAAAACATAAAATGCAGTGTGATTGCTTATTCAGCCATAATAAGGAATGAAGTACTAGCTCACACTGTAACCTGGGTGAACCTCAAAACGGTGATGTCAGTGAATGGAGGCAACCATAAATGGTCAAAAGGTTTGGGGACCACTGACACACAACCTCTGGAACAGCCCCACCCATTGAGATAGAAAGCTGAGTGGTAGTTAGCAGAGGCTCAGGGGCTGTGGCATCACAGCTGAAGAGGGGTGGGGACTCTATTTTGGGGTCATGGGTATGTTTTGGAATTACAAGAGGAATTGTCAAGTGAGCTTAACACACTAACTTTTATAAAAGCATTATTGATTTTAGGAGGGTGGGATAAGGGGGAAAATGATCACAGTGAAAGGATTATGGCCCAGATAGGACACTGTAGCCGGTAAAGCCTCAGGCAGAACCAAGGAGCTTTATCTTCCCCACCCCTAGGAATTTGCTCTGGTGAAATGAATACCAATGAGATATCTGCACATCCCTAATGCCCCTCAGGCACCACCCCCAACCTAAGCTACATGTATGCCCCCACTCCACGTGTCCTATGGAGAGATTGCTGACCTCAGGGAGAAGCCGGGCCCCAGGGTTTGGGGTCTTTCCCCACATTCTTAAAATAAAGGTCATTTATATTTCATACTTCTCATCTTTTCAGCCTCCGCCACAATTCTATCATATGATTCCTGGACCAGGAATGGCAGACGAGAGACTCCTGGGATCCTCCTAGTCGGAGTCCTCTGCTGTTTGCAGACCAGAATGCATCCTGAATTAATTCCTCACTTCTACACTAGGGAGCTGTAAACTTGTCAGCAATCACTCACAAACAACACTGGCCCAATTTATCACAGGTGGGCAAACTCCGGAGAATTCTTTGGCGCTGGGCTAGGCCCCATGTGGGTTTTCTCCCCCTTCCCGTGGATTCAAGTGATACTCTCACGTCCTTAGACAGCCCAAGGCAGAGTTTTTCTGGGCCAACCTGGGTCCACACTGAAAAACTCTCACGTCCTTCAGAGCTTTAAGCTCTTACGGGCAGAGCCGTTACTAAAACCCATGAGAAATCCACTCATGGATCTCTTGGTGACGTCTGAGAAATACGAGATTTGCAACTGATCATAACTACCTTCGTTTGAAAGCACAAGGATGACGGCCCAACCTTTGGACCACAGTGTTTTTCTTGCCTGAGATTTAGCCATAAAAAATATCTTTTGTACTTGCCAAAAGACCACACCTTTGCAATGCTTGATTTCCAATCTGAGTACTCTTAAATGTAAAAAAACCATACCTATTTATAGCTTATCACGCTGAGGACAAGTTTATAAAATTATCTTTAAGCCTTTGTTTTGAGAGCATGTGTCCTTTCTCATCCTTCCAGGATCCCTCCCCCTCCCCACACTTAAAGAGATAATAGTGTCTTTCTTTACAGCCTTTCAAAGCTTTCTCAGCGTCTCCTTTCCTCCCTGCTTCTGCGCCCCTCCCCCACCATGCACAGTGAACCATTCCCCACCAAGATGGGGGAGGTGTGCCTAAAACAGTGCTGAGAGATACGCATGGGCTGCTTTAAGCTCTCATGCCATACCCCAGCTCCGTGGGGTCCAGCTCTCACACCACGCCCCAACTCCAGGCGGTGTCTCAGCTCTCATACCTCGCTCCAGCTCCGCACAGGGTCTGGCTCTAATGCCGTGCCCTACTCCGTGCGCCCCCCGAGCAGTCCCAGTTTCACATGGTGCCACAGCTCCACACAGGGTCCTGGTGTGCAGGTTCCCGGCTTCACGCCTCATCCCATCTCTGTGTCCCAGCTCCGCCCCCCATGCACCACAAGCCCGCCACCCGGCCCACTCTGCTTACACCGCCTCGCCCTGCCTGCATTTCCGGGGCAGTTTCAGCCCCGCCTCATGCACTGCATCCCTGCGCACATTCCACCTTCACTCTGCGTGTGCTGCCCGCACCCTGGCGCCCTGCCTGCCCTAAGCAGCCCACCCACTCTGCATGGTCCACCTATGCACTGCGTGCCAGAGAGATCCCAGCCCCCGCCCCCAAGCACAGGTATGTCTCTGTCTGCAGGCACAGCTCTGTCTGCCAGCGCAGAGACAGGCACAGCAGACAACTCATTATTGCTGATCTGATGCTGTATTCATGTTTTCAGATATAAAGTTCAGATTGCTTCTGCTGCCTTTTTTCTTGTGTTCCAGCCATGACAAATGTTTTCTTTCAGATCCAGATATACGCTTAGAGATGTTTCACAAATTTCTTCAGTGTTCAAATGTTAAAATTCTCATGGTTAATACCATTTAATGTTTTATATTAAGCTTACTGCCTCTATTGTACTGTACTGTTATCAATCTTCTAAAAATGCTCATGGTTGATATTAAGCTTACTGCCTATATTATACTGTACTGTTACCAATCTCCTAGATGTTTAACAACTAAAATTAAGAGGTACTTATAAATTCCTTTTGCTGTAAACCACTAGTAATGTTCTATGTTAAGCTTACTGCTTATATTATACTGTCCATATTATACTGTATTGTTACCAATCTCCTAACTGTTTAACAACTAAAATTAAGAAATAATTATAAATTTCTTTTGCTGGGAACCACTAGCTCTTTTCCAAAACAAGGGTTATATGATACATGCAAAACAACAAGACCAACACTGTGGCAGAAGCCAAACTTAAACCTTTCCCAGCCTGTCTGGCTGTCCTGGCTCAGCCCTCCATCGAGCCATAATTAACTATATTCAACTGATATTAAATGACACCATAGCTGAGCTCTCTCCTACATAAAAAGGTAAAAATTAATTCAACAGGCCATCCTCCAAAAATCAGATGGCATTAGACATTTTTAATAACATAAAGAGATACTTATATATGACATAAATGACATGTAAGTTCCTAAAGTTCCCTAGACCTTGTTCTCCTTATGTGAAGCCATTACTAAAATCATAGATACCCTGTTGATTATATTTGACTCCTACATACTTACTTAATTCTACAGATACCTTCTACTGTAGACCAAATCCCAAACAAAAAGGCAAAACTTGACCTTCAAACTCCATAGAGACCACCTTAATATGACTTCATGTTTTCAACAACAGAAATAACACTAACACTTGTGATACTTGGAGTTCTGAGACAGGTAAATGGACACAAGGTGGAGCTGCCTGCCCCCCCCCCCCCGCCATGGACCATGCCTCAAATGCAGCAGAAGGACATTGGGCAAGAGAGTGCTCCATCCTGCCGTTCCTTTGAGATCTTACCCCAGGGCTACTGGACTGTCCTAGCCACCAGAGAGTAGGTAAGTCATCCTAACTTCTAGCCCTCACAAAAGATACCAGATACCACAAACACTACCAGATTCATCGCTGATAGATCTGCTTAAACTTGCTGCTGAAGACTGACAGGGCTCAGGGCCAACAACAGCCCACTTTAAGGTGTCCATCTCAAGGTCCCAAGTACCACTAAAAGTCTCAGGTAAGACATTCTCTATACTTGTGGACATAGAGGCCATATGTACAGAGTTCTTCCTGAGTTTTCAGGCTGCTCTATTAAGTCCTCAGTCTCTGGGGGATATTGAGGGTCAACCTATACCATTTAAAAACAGGGCCTATTTTGTGCAGGTTGCAGACTGCTTGTTCCCAGTGCACCCAGTAGTGCCAAATCTTCCCTCCACCACTCACTCTACAGTCCTAAATCTTAAAAATGCTTTTTATTCCCTTGTGTTTATACAGACTGATCCACACACTGAGGCCTCAACAGCTTACACCTGTTATGGCTAGTAAACCTCTCCTCAGTGATATAGACCACCCCTTCCTTTCTTATTCACCAATTTCTCAGACAACCCTGGTCAAGACTGACAAATTTTGTCTTCTCACTTTGTTTATACTTTTTCAGGATACATAAAAGCCTTTCACACAACCAGGGAGACTGCTGATATACTTACTAAAGTCCTGTTACAGCAAATCATTCCAAAGACTACAACCAGGTTACAGCGACCCATACCTGATATTCTTGGCAACCTCAACAGTGATCAAAGTTGCTAGACTGCCATCCTGGTTTCACAACACTCAGGCTAAGTGGTGCCTTTCCAGCCCTAAATCTAACCATCCTTTTGCCTACTCATCTCCATCTCACCAAGGCCTCACAGCCACGACTCTCAGGCTGTCATGTTTTGTTATCCAATTTGGTTTCTAATTTCTTATCCTTTTTTACAGCAGGACTCTCACCAGTATTTCCTAAAGACTCCCACGTCATGCATACCAGAGACAAGCCTTACCCTCTTAACTATTATCCTTTCAGATGGGGGAGTAATCACCTCTCATAACTTTACTCCTCATAACCTCACATTTATTTTTCAGAATTCTACCTTACTATGGCAATGATTCTACCTCAACATGGTCCTGATGTAGGGCCATATCAAAATCAAAGGCACTTTTTCTTTTACTTCACCTGGGTCCTTAAATATGACAGTGCCATGCCTCCTCATAACATCTTGTCTCTTTGTTTTTCCAGTCTAACTTATGTGCATTCACCAATGATACAGTTGTCCTGGCTAAAACACCTGGCACCAGCTTCTGCATGGGCATCAACCATCGTCCTGTCAACTCCCCTAGACCCCAGTACAGCTCCCCCTTACAGCAGGAAGCAGTAAAAAAAGAAATCTCTGCCCTTTTTCCTAATCATAATCATAAGAGGGGAATGAAAGGATTATGGTCCAGATGGGACACTGTAGCTGGTAAAGCCTCAGGCAGAACCAAGGAGCTCTATCTTCCCCACCCCTAGGAATTTTCTCTGGTGAGAAATGAATACCAATGAGATATCTGCACATCCCTAATGCCCCTCAGGCACCACCCCCAACCTAAGCTACATGTATGCCCCCACTCCACGTGTCCTACGGAGAGATTGCTGACCTCAGGGAGATGCCGGGCCCCAGGGGGTCGGGGAACTCTCCCCGCATTCTTAAAATAAAGGTCATTTATATTTCACAGTTCTTATCTTTTCAGCCACCGCCACAATTCTATCAACAGTATGTTAAATATATTTACAAATCTATAAATATGAAACCTATTACCAGAGTTATTAATGTGAACTAAGAATAGCACAAAAATAACATGGTTAATTTCATCTCAGTAAGCTTCACCTCAGTACAAAACAGCCAGGTTAAAAAGAAAATAGAAACCTTGGGACCTGAACAACCCGCTCCGCAGACTGTGTTTGATGTGGCATTGCATCCTTGCAGGACTGCAGTCCTCTAAGGACACCTGGAGAGAGACTGCCTTAGTCCAGTTCACATGGAGCTTGTCCCTGTCATCACCAGCAGAAGGAGGCTCTGCCTCTCTTGGTGACTGCCCACACCCTCTTACTAAGAGGCAGCAAACCCGGCCCCTCATCCCTGCTGTTCCCATCCTGATCACAATCCTCACAAGGCATTTGTGGGATTTCCGCTAATGCCCTAAAGCTGACTGACTTTCCTCTTCTATGAGTTTGGCTGCCCCACTGGTGGCCCATGCACAGAAGCAAAAATGAACCTGTCCTTTTGTTTTATCAGAGCCTCAGGTTCTCAGGATTCCCTCCTAGTCACTGCCCCCTGCAGGCCTGTTACTCATGCTAATAAATATTAGTACTACCTCAGCCTGAATGAAGGAGACTCTGTTAATGGCTGACTGCCTTCATAGCTTTGAACTCTGCATTTCATAGTGTGGTGAATATCTTCCATTTATCTACAAATCATGCCTGACCTTCCTCCTTGGCTCTGCTTCTTTCCATTGCTATGCCTTGCTCATCCTCTCGGTGTGCCAACTCTCCCAGCAATGAATGAGGCTTCTTCTTACACCATTATCTCCAGACTCACAGTAGGAAACACTGGAGAAATCGCTAAGACAAACACCCCTTAGAAATCCTAAATCCTTGCTCAGGCTGTTGCTTTGCTTCCTTTTGACAGAAACCAGCCATGGAGATGTTGCCAGGTGAGTCCTGGTCCCCAGCCCCACTGCAGGGCGTAGAGAACAGCATTCCATGGGCAGAGAGAGGCATCAGGCAGCTCCTCAGCACCTTGGTGGGCAGAGGACCCTGATGCAAAGCCTCCACTGCTACAGGGGTCACACTGCCAGCCCATCAGAGAATGGTGAGTGGAGAATGAGGCCTTGCATTAGACAGTGCTGCAAAGCCAAGTCCAGCATGCTTTCACAGAGGAAGAAAAGCAAGAAGAGGATGACCCAGGAGAGGACAGCAAGTCTGCACCTGACAGCTGGCAGATGACCTATAAGGAGAAAACCCGAAGGGAGTATGAGGAATGAGGGGCCAAGACACAGAGAAAGAGAGTCATAGAGATGTGGAGAAAGTGGAGGCATGAAAGGGCCAAGGAACACATCAGAGAGCCCAAGGCCAATGAGAAAATCACAGCATAAAGAACTCAGGTAAAAAGAAGGTGTGCAAATAGCAATCACCTGGGCAGTGATGGGTTTGGCTGCCTTCTGGGGAGAAAAGATCAGAGAAGCTTCTGGACATGGTGGGAGTTTTCTCTCTGGGCTGCTGCAGACTGAACTGACTGCTGGAGGGCCCCACAGCCCTGCTGATTCTCAGCTGGTAAAGTAGAACACCCTGTCATGCCACCTCCAACCCATGTCCACATACTTATCACATGGCGTGCAGTGTTCCAAACACCCAGTGTCCTCAGAGAAGTAGCCCTGTTTGCACTCGCATTTCCCATTGAGGGTTGGGGAGCACTCTCCTAGTCTGAAGTCCAAGGAACACTGGGGTCAGCTCAAGGTGGAGATCCTGACCTCATCCAGGCCCATGACAGTGTAATTACTAGAACCGGGAACACAGTGTGTCCCCTGTACACATCTTAATCCATCATAGGAGGTACCCTGAGGTCTTGTTTAATCTCAAGCAGAAG